CAGAAGTCTAGAAACAGAGATAATCTTTTAAATCTCATATCACGCTCGCTCTTGAATCACAGCAAGTCTGTGGCAAAATTCCCTCACCACCACTCCAAAGGCGTATTGCCATTTGGCCCGGTGTAGCTGTTAAAATTGCTTGTTTAGATCATGCAGTAAGAAAATAGAAACAGACTACTTGTAAATATCCCTAAGGTAAAATGTGTCAAGCTAGCTGGACTGCAGGAAAAAGCAGTAAAGCAATTGTCACAAAAAATATTTTAACTAGTTTCCCTCTTTTATAGAGGAAGCTTGTATAACTGATGAAAAGGGGTTCCTTGTTTTTCCAAAGACAGTATGTTTGATCCATTCAGATCTGTTCTCATTTAATAATGGATCAAGTGGCTGTGAAGTTACTTAACTCTTCGGTCTAAAGCACTACAGATGCTCAAGCAATAAACAGTCACCACGGGAGGAGGCAGGAGCTGGGAGGGGGGTGGCAGTGCTAGCCAGAGACGGCTCTGCCTTCATAAGAGAGGCACTGAGTATTTCTGCTGGCACAGCTGGGGCAGTCGGGTTGAAGTTGAAGACAATGAAGTTTGTGTGCTGATTCTCTTATAGAGAGCTCAAAAGGGAGACTGAATACCACTACATAAAATGAAACTGTTGCAAATAGTACTGCACGGTTGACAGTTACCTAGCAATAGGGAAGTTTTCAGAAAGCAAGGAAGTGCCCAGCACGTTGCAGTGGAAGGTTTACTTCAGGCAGTTAATTTGGAGGCATCCATTACATGAGGATCCTTTGGATTTCGCTCTTGGAAACTGAAAAGTAATGGCTGAGAATAAACTAGTCTCCAGACTCTCATAACCATATAATGTGCTGAAAATAAGTGTAAAATTATCTACCAGGAAACAACACCCCTGTCCTAGGAATCTTCCACTTCATAGAGGTCAGGTACTGTGAAAAAGCATCCAAAGGATTAAAAAAAGTAAAAAAATTAAAGAATACATGTGAAGACTGTGACCATGTTGAAAAAATGCGGAGGTTGCTTGCAAGAATAAGGCGGTGGCTTAGTAAGCAGAAAGAAGGTGTATACGCAAGGGCTAGCTGGTCCAACCGACAGTATTTGCTAGGACACTGCATCTGGAAGATTCATGGCAACTTTGGAGAGCTTTGGATGTGCCCATTCAGTTGTAGAAGTTGGAGGGTCAAGCACACAGCATTATATCAGTGCATTCAGTACGTTAAGCTGGTTATAAAAAGCAGCTGCCGTTGACCGGCTTAAGTAATTTTCTGTACTGAACAGCTTAAAAGGTAAGCAAAGGGTGTAACCCATTTTTAACTGCATTCTTTGGACTTGATCTTGAAAACTTACATGAATAATTTCACAGGCTTGAAGTGAGCATAAGGCTCTGGGTTTCACTGCTCAAAGTTTCCATGCCTAAAGCTAAATGTGTATCCATTCTCTCCAGGGGAATGTTGAACCAGGATAATAAGAATAGGTTGCTGTTTCTGGAGTACTGAAAATAAAGAAAACTATGGAAATCTGAACGTTTTTTATTCTCTTTCAGAAAGAGAAAAAGAGAGAGAGAAAAGCCTGTTATTTCATCTCGGGCCTTGAAAGTAATCGTATTTGACTTCTTGGAAATCTGAATGTTTTTTATTCTCTTTCATGAGAGAGAAGCCTGTTATTTCATCTCGGGCCTTGAAAGTAATCGTATTTGACTTCTTGGGGGCATAATGGCTGATCCTTGCAGGATTGGGTTTCCCTTTCTTACTGGATTGGTTTTGTTCTTTTGGCATACGTAGTTCAATGTGCCCAGCTCTTGCATGAAGCAGTACTTGAGCAATGAGAGAGACAAGCTGATGTGGAAGGGAAAAACAAATTGTCTGATGTGGGAAAGCAGATCCATTGTAAAACTTAGCGCAGGCATGCAGACTGTGCTTCTTCATCTGGAACACAACTAAATCTTAAGAAGTAAAAGCACAGTTACTTTTTCTGCAAAATGTAGCCCTTGGATGTTCCACTATCATTCAAATGAGAATTACCACATTTCACCAAGGGATAGAAAACCGTGGGATCCTTTCCAGAAAGAAACAATTAATCCTCTGATATATTTGCTGCAATTCTTGGGCTTGATTTAGCATTTAAATGAAGTTTACCAATCCATAGAAGAGTGGAGTAAATAGGTTTCCCTTACTAGACATCTGACAGAGCTTGTTTCTTTGACTAAGCTGACTGAAGTGGAAAAGTTAGTGCCTAAACCCTGTGACAGTTGTATGTTGTTTCATCACTGGGACTCTTCACTTGCCTAAAACCTCTCGCTTATGCGCGTGGATGTTGAGCAAGCAAGCCAAGGATTCAGTAATAGGTCTGACTTCTAAAACAGAAATAACTAAAATAATTTCATTTAGATCAACGTAGTTACTTTTGCTATATTTTTAGAGCCTCTTTAGAATCTTCACAATGCAAATTTGCAATGATCTGAGATGCACAGTGTCAGTCTACTAAAAATTTAGGAAATCTACGTGGATGCTCCTACCTAAACAATTCTTATAACGTATACGAAAATAGCTTCTTGATCTTTCTCCAATACAGGAAACAGAAAATTGACTGAGATGACTGACTACTAGAAACAATTCTCCTAATTTAGACACACCAAGCCAAACTAGAAACAGTGGGTGTGTAGGTAATTCCTTGCGGCCATAGCTGAGAGCGCTATTGCATTCTACTTGCATGGTTTAATGCCAAGTTCACAACCACCAGAAGAAGCTCAACACAGCAGCTGTAGCCTTCATGCAAGTTAATCTTTTGGAAAAGTAAAAAATCCTGTTGAACGCTGTGCTTCCAAAGCAGGTTATCAACAGTCATAGCACCTTTGGTATTAAAATTGCCAGGAGATTCTAAACATGTAATCTGATGTTTCTGTTTCCATATTATAAGACTCCAATAGGGATGGAGCCCTTATTGTGAGGATGTTGTGGAAAATGTAACCTCAGAAATTTGAGTTTCCCAGAAGCTTAAGTTTTCTGCTCCTCTGACTGCACTTCTGACCATTAAGCTTTCAGATTGAGTTTTGCAACTGTGATCGCTCTTGGGTCACTCTTGTGCTTTCAGATTTGGATCTAAATGCAAACATACTCTTCTTGGCTCTGATGCAGTTCTAGTTTCATAAGAAAGCAATTCACATCTGTGTATGATCTTTATAATCCTTAAAAGCTATATCTAGCTCATTTCTAAAACAGAAAGGAAGTGAGAGAATAAGTACTAGTGTCATACACGTCTTATTAATACACGTTCTGCTTATCCAGTGACTTCAGAGATTGCTTCACACTTGCGAATGCAGCTTTTCCTAAATGAGCAATGGTCCCATGACCCTGAGCAGTCCTGTAGGAAAATACTTTAGTCAGTATGCCACATGCCATTACTGAGCCTTGAAACACTGTTTTTGAGCCTTATGGAGCAAAAATAGTGAATATCATCTGGAGAACAGTCTATTGAACCCGGTACTTCCAAGCTATTGTGCCCATTGTTGCTCCCAATGGCATGATTGCCCCTGGTGTATTTGAGCTTATCCATGCTTCTTATAGAAGAAACCTCTGGCAACCCAAGTCCAAATGTATTCTCCTCCTGTTGCATTAAAATCTTAAAAAAAAAAAATAAAAAAAAAAATCCTTGTATTTTGTCGTGTTCTCATTACTGGAGGAGCTTTTATATATGCACCCACCTCTGAGGATATCAGGGACCTCAACAGATATGTCAAAATGCCATTCTTTTAGTTGATCTTCCCCTTTCTTCTCCAGTTGAAATTTTTATAATCCATTAATTAGCTCCCCTGCTTTTCAGCTCTAGATGTCTTTCTGTTGCTTACCCAGTCATGTATCATCATCACCCTGATTCTGACTCTCTCTTATATTGACTAACATCTTTTTTTCCCATGCAACTGACCTCTGCTGTATTAGTGCTTCAAAGGTGTCTGACCTTCAAGTCACCTTCTACTGTGAAGCAGAAATAATCCTTGCTCATTCATGTGGTGGATACGGTTGACCTTTGGCACATGTTTTGTTCTTCCCTGGTGATGGTAAGACTTCCATAAGTTCTTACAGAACTTAAGTTCTAATTATAAGTTACAACTCATATAAGCCCTAACTATTAAAGGGGTTTGGGGAGCTTGTTAACACTATGGGCTACATACAATCCTATTAAAATAGCTAGACTTCACCCTGAAGAGAATTGCAGGAAAGCTGTCATTTAGAGATGGGCCAAATTGCTATAACGATCAGTACAATCACAGCAATGAAACATTTCTCCATGAAATTCCTACCAAAGAGTATCAACACTAGGGGTTTAGGACAATGATGTGCAAGATAACCACAAAACAACATGCAGATATTTTAATTTAATTTCTACATTTGAAATGTTGGACATAGTTAAATTATTTTGGAGCAAACCGATCTTCAGAGAGCAGTCAATACCTTTTCAGTCATGTTTCATGTGTTTTAACGAGACCATTTTTAAAAAGGGAAATTATCTGCTTTTCCAAACTTTTGTTTCTTTCTAGTATTTTCCATACCTAGTTTCTCATTCCTTTTTCATGTCTCCTTCAAAATCTGACACTGCATAGACACAACTGCTAGTATAGGTTATCTTCTCTTAAGAGCAGCATTGAGTAGCAGTCCCAAACCGCTTCAGAGAAATCTCTGAAAGCTGAATTCTCTCCATCCTGCCTCCCTTTGTATCACCTTCCTAACTCCACGGCCACCGGCAGGCTGGGAGAGCGGCTGACGCGAGGGGCACTGCTGGCTCCCAGGCGGGGCCGAGGCGGGGGGGCGAGGCGGGGCAGAGCCGAGCCGCCGG